GATGGAATGAATGTAAAACTAAAGTTCTCCCATGTAAACTCTCATATAATTCACAGTAAAACATAAAAAAACAAAATAAAATGAAAAAACAAATAACAAGCCTAGGACTCCGATTGGATTCCAGGTTAGCACAAATGGTTAAGCACTCAGCTGTTAGCCTGAAGTCCTGGGGTGGCACTCTAGGTTAATGTGCTGGACTGCAAAGTTGGTTTGAACCTCAAGGTCAGCAGCCACTTCTCGGAAACCCTGCACAGGGTCTCTATGGGTTGGAACCAGTTCAAGTAGCCAAAAGTCTGCAGATCCACCTTAACCCAGAGGTGCCTTGGAAGAAAGACCTGGCCATCTACTCCCCTACAATTAGCCTGTGGAGCACAGGTCTGCTCTGACGCACGGGGTCACCTCAGGGCAACTTGTTTGCTTTGCTTTTCTAAGTAGGTTTAGGGCATAGCCTGTTGGAATATATAATCAGGGACTCAAACCACAGACCTTTGGGTTTGCAGTGTAGTCCGTTAACTGTTTGCACCACTCAGGGACTACATTAAAGCCTACTTCCCAACAGGATGACATCCACGAGAATAAGACTGCAATACGATTTGGGGCGGAAAGAGAGAAGGCACACAATTCGATAAATACCACCTGGCTTTCAGCCTTGACCCTAAAGGGCTGCAGAAATCTCATAAAGGCATGTGAATGGGGGCAAGACCGCTGCTTACCGGGACTGGGGAAGAGCAGTAAGGAGGAAACAGGAATCTTGCTGGTCTCCCTAACTTTTTGCTAGCCCGGGCGTCTCACCAGGGCCAGAACAGACATGCAGCCTGAGGTGAGAACTGGAGGCTTAGTTTTAAATTGGTTTCTCAGCTCGAGAGGTGATCTTAGATTTGTATTTGATTTCAAACAGCTTAATAGTTTTTACTTGAATTAATCTCGTATGTTTGGAAATGGTGCACAAATGGATGCAGGCGTAACCATCTGTTGTTCTTGGCACTTGTTCACTTTCTTGGCAGGAACTAATCAAGGTGGACTTCATATTAGTTTCATGTTCTACTAACCTCTGCTTTTGACTTAAGACTTTTTTCAGTTGTTGCAAACGCATGGGTATTTTGCTGAACTATTGTTTACATGCCAAAAGTTGTTAGCACAGCACAGTGCTTTAATACCTTTTTAATTGTAGCTGTAACAGTGAGTTTTTTCAGTGATTAGTGAATAAAAGCAAGGTTTTAAGCTTTTTAAATAGATTATGTTTCCTACGTTTTTTTGGTAGAACACTCAGGAAGATGCTCGATCTAATTTGTGGTTTTTATAGATCACTATCCAACCATATGTATGCTTGTTTTTTAAAAATCATTATGATTTATTTTCAGATAGAATACTAATGGTAGTATATAAAAAAATTACATCTTTGTCAACTTTTGACCTTTCTTATAGCAAAGGAGAAGGCAAAGCCAGAAGACCCTCCTTCAGATGACGAGGTTCTCATTGTGTATGAACTAACCCCAACCCCCGAGCAGAAAGCCCTTGCAAGCAAACTTAAACTTCCCCCAACGTTCTTCTGCTATAAGAATAAACCAGATTATACCAGCGAGGAAGAAGATGACGGTAATTCTTTTGTTAGTTTAAAACTCGCTGGCCACATAGTCATTTAGTAAATGAGGGAATTGTTCCATACTCTGGATGTTAAGTCATGTCTGTTAGAAGTTTCCACTGCTGTCTGTGCAGCTTAATAACAACCCTAGGCGCATATGTGAGGAGTCAACGAATGTGACCTTCCGCAGCGCAGTGTTCAGTAAGCAGGCACTAGATAGGTAGCATATGCGCAGCAAGTGATTGGAGAGGACTGAAAGCAGTCAAAATTGTGTGGAGTGTTATAGGGGTTCTGAGAGGCCAGGGCTTAGCGAACATGGGATAGCATATTAGTCTTATAAGCATAGGAGTTGACCTGATGAAGAGTCAGGCCTGGGCTGTGGGCAGTACCGTGAGTTTCACTCCCTGTGCATGTGTTCACACAAGAGGAGAGCCCAGGGTGAAGCTCTGTAAGTAGGAGGCTGCATTAGGGCCCCAGAACTGGCCACACTAGTTGCTGCTTGGATGTGGGAAGTACGGAAAAGGATGCAGTTAGAAGTCTTTCTTAGGGTTCTGACTGGGAAACCCATAGATAACTGAAATTCTTTTATTTAACATAATCACTTCAACTTCAAGACGAAGATTTTGAAACAGCTGTGAAGAAATTGAATGGAAAACTGTATTTGTGTGACTCAGAAAAATGTAGGCCATCTGAAGAAGATCAAGCGGGTAAGCTAAGCTTAAATCCTTAATTATATGTATGTAATATTACCCCCACCCCCCGGGTTAAAGGCGCTTTTAATGTGTACCAAATTCTGTTTACTTAGGTAGTATGCCCACAGATATTTATAATATTTTTAAATGGTATTAGATAGAAATACTGTTTCCTAACGGTCTTTTTGCCTTTTTGCATTTACAACTCGTATCTGTAATTTATATAGATTACGTTGAGGATTATCCTTACAGAGTATTTCTATGACTTCTGCTTTTAACTTGCTTTCCTGTGTTTGTCCTGATTTTTCAGATAATGAGGAAGAATGTGTTATTGTTTGGGAAAAGAAACCAACACTTGAAGAGAAAGCAAAAGCAGATGCATTACAGCTCCCACCCACTTTTTTCTGTGGCTTGCGCAGTGACACCGAGGAGGACAGTGGAAATGGGGAAGACTTCCAATCAGAGTTCCAGAAAGTTCAGCAAGCTCAAGTAGGAACAGCTCTGTTGCTCTCCTTCTGGAAATAAAGTCTTTATTGATGCTGTAAACTTTAGAATGTGCTTACCAAATGTCTAACCCAACCCACTGTCACTGAATGGATTCCAGTTCTCAGGGACCCTTGTATAGGGCTTCTGAGACGAAACTTTCTGGGAGCAGTCTCAATTTTCTCCCACAGAAGGGCTGGTGGGTTTGAACTGCTTCCCTTGTGGTTAGCAGCCCAGTCCATGACCCAGTATGTTACCAAGGCTCCCACTAATAATGACTGGTGGCTTTCAAAGGGATTAGATCCCCCTAGGTCAGGGATCTATCAGTAACTATGGCCAGGAGAGAGTCTTGTTCTATCAACAGGACGATAAAGGCTCATTCCTCGGTAGATACTGGATTTTAGGGGCTAAGGAGTAGTGTGGACTATATGTTATAGTAATAAGCCACATTGTTATAATAAATTATAACCCTAAGAAAGGTACTAACTAGTTCATGTTTAGTGCAAATGAGCTTATTGTGGAATTTTTTGTTCTTTTCAGTTTTTAAATTCCCATTTGGTTCTTTTTTTTATGCTTTCTATTTCTTTGTTGAGAACTGTCTTTTCATTAATTTCAGAGTATTTGCCCTTTCTGTTTGGAACCTTGTTTTGATAGCTTCATTCAAGTTCTTTTTTGATCATTCCAGTAACTGTGTCCTTGGCCCTCTTGCTAGAGAGAGCTGGCTTCGAGTAGACCTTTTCTGACTGTACCATTGGCAGTTCCAGGATTTCGGGGAAAATCCCCACAGGATTCTCACCACAGGATTATCTGTAGAGCCCTGTGATTCTTAGACGATTTCTTTGTATCCACCCTTTTCAGAGTTTTCTGATGCTAGTTGTAAATTCTGTTCAGGTGTTTAAAGGAGTGGGCGAGATTAGGTTTGAGTGTGCTTGCTCCATCTGTTCCAAAAATGAAATCCCTCAATTTCTTTTAAAATCCAGAAGTCAGCTCTTAATAGGATAGTAATTTGCGCCTTCTGCTTTGCAGAAATCACACAGTGAGCAGCTGACTGGAGTCCCTGAAGTGACCAGCATGGCTGTTGGTGTGTGTCCAGGTGGGGCTGGAGGCACGCTTCTGCTGTCCTGTCAATCTAAAGAACCTGATTCCACGACCAACCTTGTTAGTGCAGCATCTCTTTGTTCTGGAACTGAGGAAAACCCTGTGGATTTGTCTACTAAAAAGGAACCTGCTACAGAGTCTACAAACCAAGGTAAAACTTGGTACATATTTACATAAACTTTGTAAACATGCATTTCATAAGGAACAACTATGAATTTGAGAAGCCTTTTTAAGCTTTTTAAGATAGATTTTAAAAATGACTTAAAACAACAACAACAGCATTTTAAAGGGGCATAAGAATGAGTAGTAGTAAGAAAAACAGTTCTCCTGCCTTGCTAACAAAAATAATAGACATCTGTTTGTACTGTTAGGGACTGTGGCTTCTGTGGCCATGACCTGTCCATCAGATCATAAAGGACAATGCTTTGCTTACATGAGAAATGTCTATTACAAATACGTTGTTTTTGAGTGCTGTTGAGTTGGTTCCGACTCATGGGTACCCTGTGTAGGGTTTCCAAGGAGTGACTGGATGAATTTAAACTGCCGACCATAATGTGCTGTTCGACCCACCTTGCTGTCCAGTACTTATCCCAGAGTGCCATGCCAGGGCTCCTTTTAGGTTATACAAGACCTTACTAAAGGAGAAACTGTGTAGTTTTCTATCTGGCTTTGTGCAGGTATATTATGCTTTTGATATAGTATTCATTGGGAATAGCTCTTACAAGCTTAATAGTATATAGTACTGAAGGTCAGACAGATAGGTTTTGCAACTTCAAAGAAGTCACCAAAAGGTTTTCTTCTTTTTTTTTTCTTTAACTGGTATTGTACAAGTTCTTACTCATGTCTCCCTGGGTCTTGGGTAAAATTTTAATCTTAACATAAACACAATGAAATGCTACATTGTTGGTTTCTTTTACCAGTAGAAAGCAAACCAGTTGTCTTTGGGTTTGGAAACAGCCCGGGACTATCATTTGCAGACTTGGCTTCCACTACTTCTGGGGAGTTTGCTTTTGGTTCTAAAGGTAAGCTCAAGAGGATCGATTTGAATGGTTATGTTGTATTATTTTTAACATTTATTAAAACAACCTGAAATGTGTTCTCATTTCCTGTAAAGTATGCTGATAGTTAACTCACGAAGAAGTTGAAGTAGAGAAGTTGTAAACAGGTGTTCGGGGTGCGGTGGCAGATTTGACCTCTTTAAGGGCATTTTGGATTCAAAGGTTACATTCCTAAGGTGATAAAAGGAGAGCTAAGTCTCAGGGTACTGTGTTTGTTTTAAGAACCAGTTTCATTTCTGAAAGTTGTCTATTAGGGCGTTTACTTTAGGCAGAGACTTTCTTTGTGTGTCCACGTGTGTGAGTGTGCGCCGTGCTCACATGAGGAAAACGTGCAAGAATATTACCCACGCTTTGACTGCAAGTGTTTGTGGTATTGTGGGAAATTAAATGTGTTGATAAAGTAATCTAAGAAGGAACAAAAGGCTTATAAAAATGATAACACTGTTTAAATACCCTGACTTATTTATCAGATAAAAATTTCCAGTGGGCAAATACTGGGGCAGCTGTTTTTGGAACACAGTCAACCAATAAAGTTGGTGAAGATGAAGATGGTAGTGATGAAGATGTTGTTCATAATGAAGATATTCATTTTGAGCCAATAGTGTCATTACCAGAGGTAAATATTACAAAATGAAAATCTTAAATCATTTCTCATTTTAAGTTTAAAACCTGTACAATTCGTAATCTGAAATGTAAGCTCTGTGCTTATTAGAAATTTTTTGATGTTTACATATCCGAGGGGCCTTCAAGAAGTTTGAAAAATTGTATTAGCTTATTTTAATTCCATTTTTCCATGAACTTTTTAAAGCACCCTCGGAAAAGTTTCTTGATAAATTCTATTGATGTTATTGTCTAGAACTAAAAGAATTCTTTCAGATATTGTTAGAATGTAATGTTTGTTTTCGTAGCATGATACTTGGGGCAAAAGAAATCTTGTATTTGCCAAACAAGAAAAAAAGAGGGGTGGGGGTGAGGAAGGCTTCCTGTTTCCTGTGTTACCTGGGATTGAGGTCTGAAGCCATGACGAATTCTGTGGTTGGAGGGCTTCTGTTTTTTTTTTAAGCTTTTATTGTGGATTGAGTGAAAGTTTGCAGGGCAGATCAGCAGTTTTACGTTCAACAAATCATACACCTTGTTTCATTACAATGATTATAACCCCCTCCATGTACCATCAGTTAACAGTATTTCTCTCTGTATTCACTTTAGCTTTTTTTTTTTTCAAACACTCAGACATATATAATAATTTAAACCACCAAAGGGCACATTCTACAAGTCTGCCTCCTGGCCACCAGCTCTCAGTCCCTCTCTTCCCATGAATCTAGGAGTCCTCAGCTGCTCCCTGTCTCCATGTTCTCATCTCTGCCTCTATCTCTGGTGTCGCTGCTTCTCTGGATAAGGTCCTGCATTCTGCTTGTGCTCTTCTACCTTGATAGTCCTCGGGTCCTCTGGTTCTGGACTGTAAGATTAACTCCTTCCCTGTTTTTGTGCAAAACTTCTATCTTTACAGTTGTGACAGTCGCCATTAGTCATGATGAGAATTACTCACTATTGAATCGTAAGAATCTTATCCCCATCTCTTTTTACCAGACCCATCTAGACAAGATGAAAACTATTCAGTAGGGACTCTTATCTTCAACCACACACTCTTAAACTAAACTCCCTTTTGAAACCTTGTAAGCCAGTCACTTCGTGCCGTTATTGCCCCCTCATTTTAGGTAGCCAATGTCTAAGTTGCCCATCCCTATCTACCCTGTATACAGAGGAGATAGTATTGATACTTGATGTGAACACTCGTTTCCTCTGTTGGTATTTTGAGCTACTACCTCCATGAGTATAGGTCAAGTTCATCAAATTGTAACAATTTACCCTTGTTTCCTGTATCAAAAATTTTATTATTTTTTTAATCTTCCTCTAGTTGAGTTCTGATTATCAAGCCATCAAGGCTAAGTCAAATGGGTACTTGTGCACCTCCCCTCACTTCACTCCCAGCTCTAGCCCTCTGTGGCTGTGTCCTTGTCCATGGGCTCAGGTGTCACCATACTTTGGACCAACCAGCCCTTCCTCTTCTCTTTCTCATCTCCAGGTCAATGGGAATGGAGGGCTTCTTATACTCTTCATACTGACTCAGAATTGTGTAACAGTTCCCCTACTTAATGGAACTCTATCTAGGAACCAGATGTCCTGTATCAGATTGCTTCTGGGTTTCTTTGAGTTCTTCTGTGACCTGGCTGTGGCGTCATAGTCTATGGACACTAGTTGATCTTCTCATTGACTGTCCATTGACGTATGTACCATTGGTTTTAAACTTCATTGGTCATATTCCAATATCATGCTGTTTTTATTCACCTTTGTGTCACAAATTGAAATGGATAATGATTATGCGTCCCCAAACTCAGGGAAGAGTAGAGAAATTCCTCAAAATCACCTCGGATGCTGCCTATTTTGGAATATGTAAACTGTTTATGGAATCGAGCACTAAGCTCTAACTCCTGAAGATGCAGCAAGTTCCCTAACCTGCTAGTGTGGCTGCCCGAAGGTTCCGCTACCTCTTGGAAGCTGGACTAATGCTTATGGGTGTCATCCTTGACCGTTTAAAAAGGTTTTCAATGAAAGAGGCATTTACTCTGCTGCTCATTATCAGTTTGGAAAGGCAGCATTATTAAGAATATCTTACAAATAAACCCAAAACCCCACCATTCAGTTGGTTCCCATTCGTAGTGACCCCCTGTAGGGTTTCTAAGATGTGACAGACACTCTTCCAGGAGAAGACAGAACTCAGACTCCTCGGGGCCCCAGTACTTGATGTACATCAGATGGATTCCTAGCCCTGGCCTTACCATGGATCGTTCACTAAAGTTCCAAGTCAGTACGAGGATTGTCAGTACTTTCAGGTGTTTGTAAGTTTTTACTGTGAACTGAGTGATTGTTTACCTGGGAGAATATCAGTTTTGTACCCATCCTGTCATATTTCGTTTCATTGCAATGATTACAGTCTCCTCCGTGCATCATCATTCTACAGTATTTGCTTCCATTTCCTCTGTTTGTCTTTGGTCTGGGAGGGTGGGGAGGGGAGATGTACACAAAAACACTCAGGAATATGCCATTATTTAAACAACGAAAGGGCACATTCTGCAAAGCCTGCCTCCTGGCTGCCAGCTCAGTCCCTCTCTGTCCATGAGTCTGGAGTCCTCAGCTGCTCCCTCTCTCCATGACCTCATTTCTGCCTCCATCTATGGTGTCGCTGCTTCTCTGGACAGGATTCCGTATTCTGTGCGTGCTTTTCTCCCTCGATGGTCCTAAGGTCTTGTGTTTCTGGACTGTAAGATTAATTATGCCTCTGTTTTTGTTACAGAATTTCTACCTTTACTTTTGTGATAGTCGCAGTTAGTCATGATAATGATTACCAAGACTTTTTAAAGAGTAAAATCTTATATAATTTGTACCTTTGAAATTTGTTATCAACAGCAGCATTTCAATTGTTCCTCTGCTATTATAGGTAGAAGTAAAATCTGGAGAAGAAGATGAAGAAATTTTATTTAAGGAGAGAGCCAAGCTCTATCGTTGGGATCGAGATGCCAGTCAGTGGAAAGAACGTGGCGTTGGGGATATAAAGATTCTTTGGCACACGATGAAGAATTATCACCGAATCTTAATGAGAAGAGACCAGGTGTTTAAAGTGTGTGCAAACCATGTTATTACCAAAACAATGGAACTGAAACCCTTAAATGCTTCCAATAATGCTTTAGTCTGGACTGCTTCAGATTATGCCGGTAAGTTTCTAAATTCCGACACAGTTTTTCAGCATCCGGCATGAGCACATGAGACCATTTACAAGGACTCAATGCTAAGGTTCCTGCCTTTTTTTTTTTCTCTCCCCACCAATAGATGGAGAACCAAAAGTGGAGCAGCTCGCAGTGAGATTCAAAACCAAAGAAATGGCAGATGGTTTTAAAAAAAAAATTGAAGAATGTCAACAGAATTTATTGAAACTTCACAAAGGACAGGTATCACTTCCAGCAGAATTATCCAAGGAAACAAATCCTGTGGTATTTTTTGATGTTTGTGCAGATGAGGAACCTCTTGGACGTGTAATCATGGAATTATTTTCCAACATTGTTCCTCGCACCGCTGAGAATTTCAGAGCATTGTGCACTGGAGAGAAGGGCTTTGGCTTCAAGAACTCCATTTTCCACAGAATAATTCCAGATTTTGTTTGCCAAGTAAGTATGAAACCTGTATATTAATGAACTGAAGACTAGAGTGTACCACACAAACTTGGGAAAGTTGGATTTCAGTGGGTGTTACCAACACCCACTGCCCTACCATTCCCCTCTAGTAACGTTCAGCCTGACATGGTTTATGTGTTGGTTGCCATCCCTTGGGAAAATTGAGGGTGGGAGAAAAACTGCTGCGCTTTTTATCTTCTATATCAAATGAATAATTTTTATTTTTCAAATTGCATTCTTACAGTTAGATTTTTAGGATTATTCTATAGTGATGAGTTCTTGTGTGTTTTACTCAGCTCTCCTACTAATTGGACTCTTTTTCAGGGGGGCGATATTACCAAACATGATGGAACAGGAGGACGGTCCATTTATGGAGATAACTTTGAAGATGAAAATTTTTATGTGAAACATACTGGTCCTGGCTTACTCGCAATGGCCAATCGGGGCCGGGATACTAATAATTCTCAGTTTTTCATAACATTGAAAAAAGCAGAACATTTGGACTTTAAGCATGTAGTGTTTGGGTTTGTTAAGGAAGGCATGGATACTGTGAAAAAGATGGAATCGTTCGGCTCTCCTAAAGGGTTGGTTAGGCGAAGAATTCGTATCACAGAATGTGGACAGATATAAAATCATTGTTTCTCCTAGTCAGTTTTATCTGTATCAACAGTTAAATTGAAGCTTAGCTGTTACAATATGGTAATTATGTTCAGCTTTGAATATGGACGTTTCCAATGTACAAATGTAAAATTGCAGCTTATAGCTGTTGGCATTTTGTAATGTGTTATAACAGAACTTGCATGGTGGGAAATAAAAGTTTAAACACTGGTGTTCTTCAGGTGTACTTGTGTTTATGGACTCCTGACATATTTGTAGTAAAAGTAGAAGATTAATCTTGTTAAAAGCAATAGACCACCTCAAACTATCAAAGAATATGATATATGCAATTTAATTTTCATCGCTTTGAAGATACTTGGATTTCATGCATGGATAGACTTACCTTTTGAATAAAGGGACCACAACTTGAATTTTTATTTTTATTTTTTTAGATTTGAAATATATTTGGTAATGTAATATTTGCGTGCTCATTTCTGCATAGAGTGACTTGGCTGGGAGCCCCAGAGGCCAGAGACTGATCCAAAGTATACTTCTACAGCCCCCGTACCTGTGGTGTAGTCAGACGTGAGCTTTTAAAGTAGGGCTCCTTCATGGTGATCAGATGCAGCTTCCTGTGCCCTGTCAAGGAGAGTTGTAGTCACATTTTACACAAAGTGACAGTTTCTTTTGAGATTTTATTTTGTCTTTTAAACTTCGGTCATCTGTTTTCATTACTTCAGAAACTGCAACTTGGTTCTGATAAAAGAACTTAATTTTTTCTCTCTTGAAGTTATTGTGATAAAATATGAATATTTTTAAAAGGTTGATATGTTGTTTGGTTAAAGATTTGCTTTATACTAGACTGTTGCAGTGCCGTTTTCTGGTGAATTTTGTAGCAGAAATAAAGTGTCATTGATAACAGAGACATTTACAACGTTCATTACTCGTGCATTTAGTTATTTGTTTACACATTCTAGTTGCAGGCGTAAAGGAAGGAGGACTAGTAGAGATTCCTAACACTGCCGTCGAATTCCTAGAGCTTTCACGTCTCATATCCATGGAACGGTGTATCTGGAAATGGCTCCTCTCTAAGTAATTAAACTGGAGCACACAACATGGTATAGAGTAGTTCTCCAAGTTAATACATGTTCCCTCTATGTCCTTTAATGTTATGTAAATTTACTCTCATGTACAAATGACTGAACCAACTTCTATCCACATCAAAACCTAAACTTACTGCATCAAGTGGTCTCTGACTGAGCAAGCCTATATGTGATTTCTGAGATTAAATCTTTACAGAAACAGACAGCTGCAGCTTTTTCCTACAGTGCAGCTGGTGGGTTTGAACTGTCAACCTTGCAGTTCGCAGTCCAGTGAACGCCCAAGCCGTACACTCAGCAGATCCCTCACAGTGCCTTCACTTGCCGCCATGACATGGCTCTGGGAGTCTTCTTGTTCTGGTTCCCAACTGCACACAGCCCCTTATGGTTTGAGAGACTGCAGCTTCATGGGAACAGACCATCTCGTCTTTATTTCACAGAGCAGCTGGTGGGTTTGAACTGGTGGACTTTGCAGTTCGCGGTCCAGGACTTGACTCACTGCGCAGGGCTTTTTCTTGCACTAAAGTAAGACTGACCAAGAGCTGTCTGCATCTGTTCCAACGGAACACACAAATTGAACTAAGACACCTAGGAACTGATCTCATGCCTAACTCGGGCACTGTCATCTACCCTCCTGTGTATTTCACAGTGAAATCACTGCATTTTGTTCAGTGAGCAGAATTTTATTCACTGTTTCTTAAGGATTTGGACGTGGGATGCCCTATACACAAAATGAGGGGAGGGATGCTTGGTTTGTGTAGATAATGAGTATTGAATTGTCATCACCTTAAAGCCACTTGACTACAAAGCTAGCCATCTACGAAGTGTACGTCTACCCTAAGTGTACCAACTGAACTACTTGAACCTTAAAAGAGGACCGTGTACCTCATACATGCGTACTTCTTTTCAGTTGGTTTCTTTTGGAAACCTATGTAGTATAAGCTGATGAAAAGTGTTAGAGCTTTTTAGTTTTTTTGGTTGCCCTGTCATTATTTTAGAATACGGTCCAAGTAAATGAAAGTGCATTGTAAGAGGTTTGTTAACACTGGTTTCTATACTATCCTAAAGAATTCATTATGAATCGAAAAACTTTAAACTACTTTGACCCAAAGTTTCATGCAAATGACATGTAAAAGTACACTTGTTAGGGTTCCAGAGATGCATACGTTAGGTCATACTCTATTCGTTGAATCCTACGTTCTTTATTAAAAATTGTAAAAGCCTTGAACTAAATTAGAGAGGCCTCTGTCACCTTCAGGATTGGATTGTGATTTCTCTAACTTGCCATCCAAACACTGGTGGGGTATAAACCCGAACAGAAAAAGCTCTATTCAGTGTACATAAAGGGGCTCCAAAAAGTTTGTGGAAAAGTGGAATGAAAAGATAACAGGATGTATCCATGAACATTTTGAAACAGACCTCGTAGAATAAATTATTTGTACACTTTAAGGTTTAAATAATTTTGAGAAATAGCTGTGTTATTAAGATGTTGATCTTAATAAATTTGGGTATTTGAAGAGCTTTCAAAATAATCCAGTGAATTTAGAAGTTCGTCTAGACACGTACTTACAAGTATTATAATAATGTAGTTGAATTGAGAAAATCAGAGTTTTGCAGTCGTTTCCCTCAATCAGCATGGGACACATGTTTTTACGTTGCTATAGCATGCCAAGTGCTTTGGCCACAGCGCCACCAGGCCTGCTAGGCTAAAGCACTTAGCGGTTCACCAGGTCGGTAGTTGGAAGCCACCAGCTACTTCATTGTCTGCTGTTTAAAAGATTCCCACCCCTGGAAACCGGATGCACTGTGCAGTGTGAAGAGCTGTAAACAATGTTCTCAGGGAGTTTACACGCTAATTAATATTTAAATATGTCCCAGGTCAAAGGCAGGGAAAAGTGAGGCAGTCATCTTTGCTGTTTCTACTTACATGTTGAGTTTTAAAAATTTCTCATCTGTTAACACTAACAATGATAGTGGTTGTGTCTGGTTTTAGAAGCAGGTGGATTGGGTCTGTAGGCAGCGCCAGCCAGGGTTGGTGCATCCTGGGCGATGTGTACCGGCCCGAGGCGCTCACCACGCTATCCGAACCGCTTCTGGCTCCTTGGAACACCCGTAGGCTAATTCAGCTGAGTGAGAGAAAAGCATAAGTTTATGAGTCTTAAATAACAGGCACAAGGCAGGAGCCACGCAATCAGGGCCACAGTGCACGCGGTCTGCAGTGCAGGCTCCAAACCCGTCGCTGTTTGGCGACACACTGGTTCAATCCCACCCTTCGGGCGGCTGGGTTCGTTGTCCTGGTGGCGCGGCGGGCTAATGCGCTGGGCCGCAAAGTCGGTTTGAGCCGCAAGGCGAGCGGTTCAAGCCCCACAGCCGCTCCTCGGAAACCCTCCGCAGGGTTGCTAGGCTGGCGGCACTTAGCAACGGCCACCCCACGCGCACCACGCTACGGCGCAGCCTCACAGGCCCGTGCGGGCCCGCCAGATACCCAGGACGCTCTGCGTCTGACGCACTCCGCCGGCGAGCTCCGCCCCTGCCGTACGCTCCGCCGCTGCTCTGGGCACTTCGCGGTGGCGGCAGGGCGTCATGGAGCCTAGGGTGGTCAAGCCCCCGGGTCAAGATCTCGCCGTGGAGCGCCTCAAAAGCCTCTACGGACTTGGGGGCAGCTGCTGCGAAGAGGTGAGGCCTTTTCCTGCCTGCGCGGTAACGCCTCTCCGGGCCGCCGACCCTGGAGAAGCCCCTCCGATCGAGCCGGCCGCGGTGGTCTCAACGGCGTCGGCGCCTTGCGTGCGGGACCCCGGTGACCGTGCATGGCTAAGAGAAAGCCGTTACTCTGGCCACATGGTGTTATCGCCTCCGACCCAGCGACCCCAGTGTGCGGTTCCGAGGAGCGGCTGGGGGGACCTGAACCGCCGACCTTGATGTCTGCAGTCGGTGCTAGGAAAGCAGAGAAACCTCCAAATGCGCGCACTCCTGGGGGTGGTGGGGCCCGGGGACCCGGAACCGGCTCCCGGTTATGCAGTGCAGGCAGCGCTGTCGGGATGCAGGAGATACCTGTGTGTAGCCTTCCAGACCCTTTCTCCGCAGTGTAGCTCGTCTGTGCTCCTCAGGAGACCCTGCCGAGCTCCCCTTCCAGCTCAGCCGGCTCCCCGAGCTGCCCTCTGCAAGCAGAGCCCTGGAAGCCACTGTGTATCTTTGCACCTTTCGTTTTCAAGGCGCCCTGCCAACAGCTTAGAGACCAGTGCGTAACTGAAACTGATGTCTTCAGCCATCCACGGACCGACCGCAGAGGCGTGTTAAACACGGTGTGTTGGGGATAAACTCGTATGAACGGGAACCCTAGTTGTTGTTAAGTGCCATCAAGTCGATTCGGAACCCTACTAGCAGTATTTTTTTTTTTTTAAACGTTTTTATTGTGAATTCAGTGCAAGTTTACAGGGCAGATCATCAGTTTTACGTTCAACAAATGATATACTTGATTTCATTACAATGATTATTAATCCCCTCCATGTACCATCGGCTCACAGCATTTCTTTCTATTCATTTCAGCTCCTTTTTTTTAAACACTCAGACATATATAATAATTTAAACCATCAAAGGGCGCATTCTGCAATACTGCCTATTGGCCACCAGCTCTCAGTCCCTCTCTTCACATGAATTTAGTGTCCACAACGTAACTATACTGTTTGACTTAGCCTTGTAGGAGGGGGTTTCAAAAAGTTCATGGAAAAATAGAATGAAAAGATAATGGAATTTCCCTATGAATTTTTTAAAGCACCTTTATATATAGGAGAAACAAGTTTCTATCAGAAAAGGATTCCCTCACCAGAACTTTATTTTTCCAATGTACTTTATGTTGTTGAGAATACTCACAGCAGTTTCTGCGTTGTCACTTCAGTGACACTGACTGATGGCCCTTTTTTGAGTTGTTCCTCATAAGCATACACTCACTGCCTGACTGTTACCACTTTGATAAGAGTTCTTACAGCGCATAATGCTTAAGGCAGACTGTTTTGTAACCATAACTGTTAAAGGTTCATGTTTCTACAAAGCTTGACATGGCATGGTAGGAAGTATGTTTGACCTTTTATTGACCCTAGTAAGTAAGGAGCTCTGGTAGCGTAGTCCTTACGAATAGGGCTGCGAACCTTAAGATCAGCGGTTCAAAACTACCAACTGCTCCGTGGGAGAAAGATGAGGCTTCCTACTCCTGTAAAGATTTACACCCTCGGAAACCCTGTACAGGGTCGCTATGGGTCGGCGGTTCAAAACTACCAACTGCTCCGTGGGAGAAAGATGAGTCTTTCTACTCCCGTAAAGATTTACACCCTCGGAAACCCTGTACAGGGTCGCTATGGGTCGGAACCGACTTGACGGCATTTAACAACAACAGTAAGTAAATACTTGAGTGGAGTCAAGAAAAACTCAATTCCGTGTTAGAGCTGCTCATTTTGAAAATGTATAATTTCCTGTAAAGTCATAAGAAAACCACCATGAACTCCTTGCTCTCTTGTCCTGATTGGCCAGTTCACATTTGGTCATATTTGTTTTGGCATTCTTTCTCATTTTTTCCCCAAACTGTTGGAGGTGATTTACAGATTTTCCTCGGGCTCCTCTTCCTTATATTCGAGGGGACTTTAAAACCTCTGTGGAAAATTCCATTATCTTTCATTCAATTTTCCCATCAAGTTTGTGTAGCCCTGCCATATAAATACTAATACATGTTCTCCCTAAGAATAAAGACATTTTCTTAGAAAACCATGATAAAATGATCTGGAAATTTAACATTGACACAAAGCTTGTTGAATTTGTAAGGCGCTGCCTGTCGAATTGGTACTGGACTGCTAACCACAAGGTTGGTAGTTCAAACCTAATAGTGACTTCTTGGCACTATAAGCACTTAGCAGGCATTCACATTTTACCTCAGTGTTTGTAGACATTTTCCCCCTGGTCTGGATCCAGTCCAAGCATGCATGCTGCATTTTGTCTCTTTTGCTCCCTTTAATGTGAAACACTATTTAAGTCTTGCTTTGTCTCCAATATGGCACAAGCTTACCAGACTGTTCCTCAGGTTCCCTTTGTCCAGTGGCTACTTTCTGATTCGATTCACGTGATGCATTTTGGCAGCTGCGCTGTATGAGTTATGCGTGACCTCTGTTCATCAGGAGGGACCTGATGGTGGCTTGTCCTGTTACTGTGATGCTAACTGTCATCACTTGGGTGAGGTTGTGCCCACCAGGTTTCTCTCGGGTAACCTTTGGAATGACTCTGTAATTTGTAGGGAACTGTTGTGAGACGAGATGGCTTCTTATTATATGAATTTAAGTTTTTTGTTTGTTTTTTCCCTTTAGTATGAGTTTTCAAATTTTGATCAGGCTAAATGCAAAAGGAGATCTTTACCCTACTCAGGTAAGCCTATAGACTGTATTCTATATTTGGAGATTTTGACAAATTTAATTTGAGAGAGAAAAGGAACTTTTAGAAAAGATTAACTTCTTCACATACCTTGTGATACTAAACTTTTTTCACTTGGTTAATGAAATAATTATACTAAATGGTTGGTGGTTTTTTTTTTTCAAATGTGATGTTAAAACATCACTTTAAACAGCAAAGTGAATTGTTTTCATGTTTTGATTACGTTATTTCTTCCTTTGGAGATGTTAGAAGTTCAATTAAATTGGATAAAGAGAACTATTTGCTATTTTTCAAGGAATACAGTTATCCAAATGATCAGACTGCAAAGCCTTTTGAACTGCAAGGTCCGTGGTTCAAGCTCACTATCTGCTCCTCGGTAACCCTTTACAGGGTCGCTATGGGTTGGAATCAACTGATGGCACTTCACAACAACAACAATTGTTATACTAGAGGTTTGTTGTTGTTGTTGTGTGCCGTGGAGTCGGTTCCGACTCACAGCGACCCTGCACAGGGTTTCCAAGGCTGTAAATCTTTACGGGAGCAGAAAGCCTCATCTTTCTCCCACGGAATATCTAGTAGTTCGAACTGACCCTGAGGTTCGCAGCCCGATTCAAAACCACTACAGTCCCACAGCTCCTTTATACTAGAGGAGGAACCTCAGATACATGTGTTTGAGAAGATTATACTGTGGAATTGAGTGAGCAGCACACACATGTGCTAATCCATGACTCAGTGTTTCATTTTTATCCGATTAATGGAACATTCTAGAAATATGAGGGGTCTTCAGAAGTTCATGGAACTATTTCGTTGTGTTTTAATTTCATTTGTACACAAACTTTTTTGAGCCCCTGGTATGTATAGCTATGTTAATGTGTATTAACTACTAATCTATTGATCTATTTTTATGTCTTAGGTGATTTTTTTGCTTAGTAAATATAATAATTAAACTTTGGATAATTGTAGCAGAAAGAGTAGTTGGTGTTGTTAGTTGTGGTGATGTGCCGTGGAGTTGGTTCCGACTCATAGCGACACTGTACAGGGTTTCCGAGGCTATAAATCTTTACAGGAGCAGAAAGCCTCATTTTTCTCCCGCGGAGCAGCTGGTAGTTTCGAACTGCTGACCGTGAGGTTAGCAGCCCGACTTGTAACCACTACACTACCGGAGCTCCTTGAAAGAGTAGTTAGCATCTTTAAAAGTTCATCATGAATTGGCTTAGAGATTTTCTTTTCGTTTTTCACTTCAAAGGTTAACCATTTTGGATTGTGAAACATAAATAATTTCTTGATGTTTGCTTTGGTGGGTTACGGCAACTCATTAGATCAATGAATCTATTGTCAACTGAAGTTATTTGATTTGAAGAACGTTCTTCTGAAACAGTCTTTTAATGTGAAAAGAATATTCTAGATGTTACTGAGTCTTTCAAAAGTATCAAATTAAAATTGTGCTTTAGTAATGGAATGTGCCCTAGTATGCCCAGCATTATGAAGTTTTAATAAAAGGTGTTGTGTGCCTTCGAGTTGATTCCTACTCATAGTGACCCTGTATACGGTGTGCAAGAGTGGCTGCTGGGTTTGAATTGCCGACCTTGCGATTACCAGTCCAGTGCTTATCCTACAGTGCCATATCAGGGTTCTATTAAAAAGTACAGCTCATTAGATTTTTTTAAGAGTGAAGATGTGTTGGAGTCGAGTTCCTACATTTAAAAAGTATTCCTTAGTTTCTTATCACTTTTTAATATTTTAATAAATAAAAGAAGTACCACTTTTTCTTTTATTCATTGAACTTAAATACAGGCTGAGTCCATTAAGCAGATGTTTGAGGCCTGACAAGGTGGTCTCTCCTGGTTAGGTGGAAAGGAGGCTGGATTGTGAGTTTTAGTCTTCCCACTTGCTAGCTGTGCTACTTGGGAAAATGTATATAACGTCTCTGGTCCTCAGGTCTCTGACCCATAGATAGAGTTCACGATACCTGGTTTGCTTACGTCACAGGATTATTGCCCGGTTCAGATAAGATAATGGATGGGAAAGCGTTTCGTTACCTGTGAGTGTCAGGTCCACTCAGACTCATGGCCCCTCTGTGTGGGGTACCAAGGCTGCCAATCTTTATGTGAGAAGACAGTCTCATCTTTCTTCCATGGAGCTGCTAGTGGGTTTGAACTGCTGACCTGTGCTTAGCCTCCGTCACCGCCAGGGCTCCTTGCTCTATCACTGTATGATTTGATAGCTCTTTCTGTAAGCTTGCAGTCCAGTTAGGGAGGCACGTGGATACGACACCACTAGGTTACGCTGCTGGCTTATCTTCGGAGCCTAGAATCTGACCCCTAGTCTACGCTCGCAATGTGTAACCGCTCATACTTTCTGTTTGTTGACAGATGATTTGGATATCTACTCATCTGGAGATAAAGTCGGTTCATCATCAAGGTTGTATTCTGATGAAGGAAAACATTTGCCAACACCTCGTTGTAGTTCTTTCAAGCACTTAAATATGAATTGGTAAAATAGCCCTGAATTTTTCCTGTTGGCTCTCCCTTCAGTATCTCAGAATCACTGAGATAGCAGAAAGAGCACCTTGTATACATGGGTTTGCTGTTCGCTAAAAGAAAGTACAAAATTGTAATAAAAGTTCATTGTTGTTGTTAAGTGGGTTCCGACCCATAGCGACCCTGTATAGGGTTTCTGAGGAGCAGCTGGTGAGCTTGAACCACCGACCTTGCAGTTCAAACGACTTTGCAGTCTGATGCATTAGCCCACAGCGCCACACTCGGTATCGACTGTGTGTCGAGCGGAGTGGTGAGCATTGTACAAGGAGGCTTCAAAAAGTTCATAGGAAAATGAAAATAGCAGATGATGAACCGTTTCCACACATCTGTGAAGCCCCTCTTGTTTTAGGTAGTGGGGAGATGAATGAAGAGGGTCTGTGGAGATTGTAGCTACAGATGAAGAACTGTGTAACGTGGTGGTGGGCTGTTCTTAGAGGGAGGGGGACTTTCTACTGGGAAAACCTATATCAAAACAGTGGGAGTAAGATTAAAGTTGTAAACTGAAGTTTGTTAAATGTCAAAACTCGGTGGCAGACCAGCAGTGGTGGTGGTTAAGTGCCGTGGAGTCGGTTCCGACTCATAGCCACCCTGTACAGGGTTTCCAAGGCTGTAAATCTTTACAGGAGCAGAAAGCCTCATCTTTCTCCTGAGGAACTGCTGGTGGTTTCGAACTGCTGACCTTGTGCTTCACAGCCCGATTCATAACCACTACGCTACCAGAGCTCCTTACCTCAGAGGTTAGGAGATGAGAAAATATGAACGTTTTCAAGAGTTCAGTGACAGCTAGTGGTGCTGTAGTGTGATCACTGGAGGGAAAGGTCAGCTTGAACTGCGAGGTCGGCGGTTCAAACCCCCCAGCCGCTCCTCAGAAACCCTACATGTGGTCGCTCTGAGTCAGATTCAGCTCTGTTATTTATTAGGTGTGAGGTGTCGTTGAGTTGCGGCTGACTCCTAGTGACCTTGTATAGCGTTGCCAAGGCTGGAAATCTTTATGGGAGCGGACAGCATAGTCTCTCCTATGGAGCAGTCATGGACTTGAACTACTGACCTTTGGGTTAGCATCCAGTTGTCCTACAGTGCCGCTAGTGCTCCCACACGCAGCTCCGTGGAGTTCTAAATTAGCCCATTGATTCAGGTAGGGAGTTCCCGGGATCAGTGGCCAGTTAGTCTTCACATTCTTGCACACTAGTTTCTATTTTCCTGAGAGTATGTGAAGAACAGTTTTATCCTTTAAAATGCTGTAGAAATCTAGATTGCAGTGATGGAATATGTTTTTAAAGCCTAGATGACGAACTGGATTCTTTCCATGATTTGAAGCAACGGGAGACTGAAGAGTCAGTGGAGAGCGAACGAAGAGTTAGTGCCTCCAAAGTGTCCAGGAAGTCTTATAAAGGAATAGAGAAAGGTAAATCAGTGTTTACTTCAGGAAGTCTTGTAAAGGAATGGTGGTGGTGGTGGTTATGTGCTGTGGAGTCAGAACCGACTCATAGCGACTCTATACAGGGTGTTCGAGGCTATAAATCTTTACGGGAGCAGAACGCCTCATCTTTCTCCCGCGGAACCGCTGGTAAGTTTTGAACTGCCAACCTTGAGGTTAGCAGCCTGATTCGTAACCACTACGCTACCAGAGCTCCTTAGGGAAGGAATAGAAAAAATTTAATCAGTGTTTACTTCGGGAAGTTTTGTAAAGAAATAGAAATAGGTAAATCAGTGTTTACTTCAGGAAGTTGTGTAAAGCAATTGTTGTTGTTAAGTGCCTTTGAGTCGGTTCCAACCCAGAACGACCCTGTATAGGGTTTCCAAGGAGCAGCTGGTGAGCTGGAACCTCCAACCTTGCAGTTCAAACAGCTTTGCAGTCTGGCTCATTAGCCCACAGCACCACACCAGGACTCCTTTGTAAAGAAATAAAGGTAAATCAGTGTTTACTTCAGGAAGTCTTGGAAAGGAACAGTAAGGTAAAGCGAGTGTTCACTTCAGGAGAATCATGAAAAAGATGTACTTTGTCAAACCTAGTACATAACCGACTTCCCGTGGTCCTGGCTCTGGTTCTGAGGAGTCTGTGGAGCTCCGTGTGAGGTGGGGCCCTGGAGTGACAGGCAGAGCACTGAAGGGGTCTTTTTCCTTCTAAGGACATTTGTTGAACTGAATGAAGTGAAACTTTTTTCTTTTTCAAATAATTTGCATATTTACAAAACTTTGACTCCTCCAGGACCCAGGTACAGAGTGTGCAGATACAGGTGGGGGATGTAATAAAGAGACCCCCCTCTCCTTAAAGCCAGGGCTCCCGGGAGGCTAATACAAATGACGACAACTGTGAGCTAGCATTTCCCATCCTCGGTGTTGGCAGCGAGCAGATAACGGCAGCACACTGATGGCTGGGGTGTGAAACACCAGGAATTCCTAGCCACTGCTATTGGAAGTCTGAGTCAGTACTGGGGAGATTATTTTAGAAATTAATACTTGGAAAAGAATTTGGCATTATAAGTAAAACTGAACCTGTGTGTAAATCCTCCAGCCCAGCAATGTTGCTCCTGCTTATGTAAACCCTGGAGAAACTTTGGAACGTGTGTACCAGGAGCTGTGTATACAAAAACTTAGCGTTTGTATAGCCAAAATGTACAAATACCCATTTATAGTAGAAAGTTGTCATGTATTTATAAAATAGGATAAAGCTGTAGAAATGTGTGAACCCATGATGTTTACATCAACATGGGTAGATTTCAGAAAACCTTTAAAGGAGGAAGTTACAGAAATTACATAATTATATGATTCTATAATTATAGAAGTTCTATAAAATTTAAAAAGCAAACAAAATGAAACAAGGCCTTTTTTCCCCAGATACATTCATAAAGTGGTAAAAAGTAAAAAATAAGGCACTGTTAACACTGTATCGTGTTACTGATTAATTAGGAGAGAGAGGGAAAGGTTGTCAGGAATTTCTGAGGTATGGTTAACATTTTGTTTCTTGGCCTAGATAGTTAATACATGGGTGTTTTCTTATCCTTTATTTTGAAATAACTTCAGATTTACAGCCAAGTTACAAAAAGAGTGTAATGGATTCCTTTATACCATTCTGCCAGATTTGATACTCGTCAACATTTAACCACATTTCTTCTCTTTTTATATAAAACTTTTAATTTTTTAAAAACACAGCAATTCATATGTCTTCTTGAAGATTACTGTTTAAGAATATTTAAAACTATAAATTGATGATGTTTATACTTACATTTTTCTTAGCAGTTCCCCAATCACCTGATGTAACCTTAAATTCAAGAGCCTGGAATGAGTGCTATAGTGATACCAGCGCATCTCCCCTGAAAGCTGTTAGGTGTCCGACAGTGAAAGGCCCCAACAAGCAGGGTTCACTCCCGCATCATGTCCTTCGGATCTATGATGAGCTATTTCACATACATCAGAAACTGCAGGTGGGATTTCAGAAGTCTTTGTTTTCAGCATCAAACATTTTCTAAAGTTTGACTGTAAGGTATTTGACATTAATCATTTTAGATGTGAGTCAGGTATGGTCGGTTCTGACTCATAGCAACCCTTTATAGGGTTTCCAAGTAGCAGCTGGTGGGTTTGAACAGCTAGTCCTTGTGGTTCACAGTCCAGTGCCGACCCACAGTACCACCAGAGAAGTCCAAAGGTAAGTAAGGTTAGGACTTAGCAAACTGCTGATGGGAACCATTGAGGAAGGCAATGTAGTGCTGAGAGGAAAATAGAAGCAGTGCTATGTTTATGTGTGGAGATGTGTGTCTCAGGTGTCAGGCTAGCTGGCATTTTAGGTTTATTATCCTCCCATCTTTGCTTAGGACATTTTAAAAAATTGGCCGACGAGGGGTTCTTTTTGAAAGAGGTATTCTGTCTAGGTGCATTGTCTTAAATACCTGTGTATAAGAAGTCTGTTTGTCGGTTCCTTCCAAAATTAACTCTGGACATTGGTCCCTTTATGTCCTTGGGAACTTTTTTCCTCTGGATGGTTTAATTCTGATCTTTATCAACCATCCACTAGGTGGGAGTACAGAAGGAAACAAGTTGGTATAATTCATAATTTCTATGAAATTCTTCGAGTTGGAGACACATACATATAAAAATCAGTGTCTCATATGTTGTCAAAATAATAATTGTGATAATACCGTATTATTTCAGACGAAGGGGAAAGTTGAGGCTGGGGGAAAGACAGGCCAATTCATGACTGGAAGGTAGAATTTAGAAAAATGCAGGCGCAGAATGGGAGGTGACCTGAGAGGAGTGGTTGTCAGATTCTGCTTTACCAACCTGTTGGGAAATGAAAACAGTGACAAGTAAGAGAGTCTCTGCCAGGTTTAATGGAAGAGTGATGGAGACAAAAACATGCTAGTTTAGAATGGTAACATTTTTATGATACTAGGAGTAATTAGAGTTACAATGCTCTGTCTGTCATCTACAGCAGAGACAATCAAGATAGAAACATTGAGGGACAAATGGAACACAGAGCATGAATGGGACTGACTCTCTGTGGGTTCCTCTGTGGTCTCTTTCTGTCTCACGGTTATCATTCCAAACCCAAGTCAAACACACTGCCATTGAGTGTTTATCGACTCATGTTGTGAAACTGTTAAAGTCGAATCACTTCTGCCTCATAGCAGCCCTGCATAGGATTTCCAGGGAGTGGCTGGTTGGTTTGAAC